CTTTTTTTTTATTTAGTAAACACCGACAAAAGCACAAATAATCTCAATTGACATTTCAGATTGATGGTGCTGCCAACCGTCATCAATATTGTTATTTGTTAATGCAGAGGCATTATATAATTAAGACGTATACATCATCTTGTGAAAAAAACTAAAACTATTTGGTAAAATGTGGATATATTAGCTTGTGACTTGAAAGTTACATGGGCCCATAGAGGGTTAAGTTGAAAATAAAACACCTTGATTTTCTAATTCTTCTAGCGTTTTATAAAATCTACACAGTATGCTGATGATAAATCGCGGTTTTAAAATTCACTGGAGATCGTAGTGCGAATCAAACAACCGCTGAAATTGACGCGATTCAAAGTTTGAGCCCGCTCGCAATTTAGCTTAACGAGAACTGGCGCTGGTTTACGCGGCGCTGGAACAAGCGGAAAAAATAGCGGCAGCATTCGTCAAGACAATTATTGCAATTATTGCCGTCGGTTGCCGAGTTCTCAACAACAATAATGCTACCCTCAAAGCGGGCAGAATTTTAATTACCCGGCCATTAAACGGCCCCGCGAAGACTGTAACCTTCCCGGCGTGAAATTCCCCGATCGTGAGCCTCGGCGCGTGCCGTTTAAAAATGATTAATGGCGGCTCGCCTCAATCTGATTCGAGGCGATGAATTCCCTTGGTGACGGTTCGACCTCCATTTTCATTATTTACCTGCGGGAACGTGCAGCCAAGGTCTCTCATCAAACTAACAACAATATTGCACTAACGAAAATTGGAAAATCAGTTCATCTATTTTCACTCATGCGAGTAAAAATAGATAGATAGGCGCATGCCAGTAAAAACAACAATTTACGTGACATGTTTAAGTCTAGAGCTTCGTTGTAAAGCAGATTCATCTGGAGAAACTTGTAATACTGGATCGCTTTAAAAAAGTGTTATCGTACAAGAATATTATCAAGAATATTCTACACGCTTAAAATATTTATTTTCCTACACAATGCACCGCCACTGTGCTGGAATAAATAAATTAAAATATTCCAGAATACGATCAGCAATGCTGACAGTTCGCAGAACTCAATTTAACCCTTTGCAGTCGGAAGAAGTATCTGATGTACCTACCGGTAAAGTCGTATTCACATCAAAATCATTATACTGCTGTGAAATTTCATCGAAAATAATAAATAAAAGATTTTGTGAGTTTTATTTGTGTATTTTACACGATTACCCGACAGTAAGACAAGAAAATAATAATCAAAAAGAAATATCGAGTCAGAATGCGACATCCGAGTGCAAAGGGTTTAACTCTAATTGGAGTCTAGGCTAAACAACAAAATCGAACTATTATTTTGAAAGACGAATACTTGCAAGAAAGCTCTACAATTAAATGAAAGAGAAAAGGAAGCTTGCAGCTTTTTTGGCGCCAGGTCCTCAATCTGAAAAGCACCATGCTCTAAGCATCGTCCATTACGACGTCCCGCAACAACAGGCCGATCCGTCTTGCGAACTTGAAGAAATAAATCCAGGAGTTTCATTGTCGCGGTTACAGCGCCGGCAAGTAGCGAAAGCGCAGCGTTTCGGGGTGGGGGCGGATTGCAAACGGCGGTAGAACAGCGGCCGGGGGTGCGAGGGGGGTAGATGGGCGAGCCAACGTTAACCGAAGACCGCCTTCTCGTTCTTTCTCTCCCATTTTCTCCTTTTTCTTCGCCTCGTGCTTCCTATCCTCTTCTCCGCTTTCTGACCGTACCCTGTCTACCCTGCCCCCTCACCTGTCCCCCCTCGAGCCATCGTTCTCTCCCACGCTACACCTGTCGTGCGCGGCCTGAACAACCGGAGAGGTGGCAGTAAAGTCCTAGGCGGCTGAGTACGCGTACTCGACACCGAGCCACGTCAAATCCATTTATCTCGGTCCCTACGCTTCGCGAACTCGGCCTGGCTGTTTCTCATTCTTCTGGCGACTAATTTAGCGCCTAGAGTAGCCATTTTATTAACCTTGTACTCTGGAAACTAGATCGACGGTGCAATCCTACAGAAAATAGGAACATCTTTTTAAACGCGAAATGCGAGGAATTATGGTAGGAGAAGTGTAAGCCTATGTCGCAAGATTATTTAACTTTATTTAATAATATCTATTATTAATAGTATAATTAACAACAACTAACTAATATAAATAATATAATAATTATATAAATAATAATTAATAATATAATTAATATAATAGTAATATAATTAATATAATATAATATAATTCATCTCATACTAATCTTCAGACACCTGAGATTCTATTATTTTATTTTATTACGTTTCATATCCACATCATTTGCTTTATTATCTCTCTTCTTCATTTACTCGTTTGCACTTTGTTTGATTGTTATTGTATTTCTGTATTATATACTGAAGAGTTCATCCCGTTAAACGAATAAATAATATTTTTATTATTATTATTTCTAGCAAAGCAAAATTTGTTTAATTACTTCTAGACAGTATTTATACAATTTCTGAAAGATTGGCTCGATATATCGTTTAACATCTTGATTGCCGCGTCATCGACGTGGATGACGGAATTATTTGTTCAGATTTCAAAATGAATTTTCACGGTGACGCATTGAATCTCTCCAGTTTGATTGAGGTCTGCGAAACGTAAGAATGATGAAAAAGTAATTGATGACGTAGAACTAGATTTTCCAATTTGACTAAACAAAATTCTCGAATTTTATGCAATTTCGCGAGGTTTTGGCGCGGTAGCCAAAGTGTCAAAATAAATTTTGCCAAATGTCCTTAATAGCCAGGAAATTAAGTTGGATATATTGTTTGTATATTCATCGGACTGCAGAATAATAAAAAATGATCAGAAAAATTCAAGAATATTATCGGTATCGTATGATGATGCCTCGATGAATAATTAGTATTACAATGTTATAATAATCAATATTATGACATTATAATAATCAATATTATAACATTATAATAATTAATATTATGATGTTATAGTAATCAATATTATAAGGTTATAATAATCAATATTATGACATTATAATAATCAATATTATAATGTTATAACTGTCTCTTATACACATCTATGTCATAATATTGATTATTATAACCTTATAATATTGATTATTATAACCTTATAATATTGATTATTATAACCTTATAATATTGATTATTATAACCTTATAATATTGATTATTATAACCTTATAATATTGATTATTATAACCTTATAATATTGATTATTATAACCTTATAATATTGATTATTATAACCTTATAATATTGATTATTATAACCTTATAATATTGATTATTATAACCTTATAATATTGATTATTATAACCTTATAATATTGATTATTATAACCTTATAATATTGATTATTATAATGTCATAATATTGATTATTATGACATTATAATAATCAATATTATAACATTATAATAATCAATATTATAATGTTATAACAATCAATATTATAAGGTTATAATAATCAATATTATAAGGTTATAATAATCAATATTATAATAATAAAGAGAAGAGAATTTTGCAAGTACGCGTCCCCTCTCGCGTCCAACGCAAAAATTGATAATTCAGCGTACCCGGTGATTGTTCGTCGATCGCAAGCCAATTTCGAGCAGGACGAATCGCGAGGCCGCGATCGAGATCCCGGAGGATTCGGGATCGAGCGAGATCCACCTCGGTCGTGCACAGATGAAAAACCATGGATCCCGCCTACGACCTCGAACGACGGCTCTCGGCTCGACCTCGTTTTCTGCGAAAGAAATCCGCTCTCGGAGGCGAGGGACGCCGCGGCTCGTTTATCAGGGATCTTTGCGGGCGTGCACGCGCACGCCTACCAATCCTCGTGGTGCCACGAGCAGCCACACCGACAGCCGAGATTCATTCCAGGTGAGAGAGAAGGGGAAAGGTTGCCGGAGAGGTTGCCTGAAATTCGCGACGCACCTCGGCCGAGAGAGATCCTCCGTGCTCGAATGGCAAACAAACGAAAAGGTCCGCTGACACCGGGCCTAGATAATTAGAAGTGTCCCGGTCCGGGGATCACCGTGCGGTAAGGAGATCGTTAATTACATGTACGCAGGGGATACCTGGACCTGCTTCTTCTCTTCTTTTCTCTCTGCTTGACCCGGGTACCCTGCTGAATCCAACGGCTGATTTAAACCGCTTTAATAGGTCGGCCAGATTGGATTAGCACCTTCGATGCACCGTCGAGGAAGGGTCGCAACCTGCTAATGCCACGGAATGCTGGTCTTGGGGACTTTTTAGGGTAATGGAGTATCTGTGGTCGAAGTACTCTAATTCCATTTATAGATGTTGTGCAAGATGCGGCCGTTGTCTCTTTGGTATTTTTGCGGCAGATGAAAGTATAAGATCACAACGAATCTCTGACGGAATTATTTAAAATTGTTTAAAAAAGAATGCACTAGGCGAACGTGCAGTGAGACGCAAAACAATTTATCACCGAGTCGTGCAAGGAAATATTATAGCTAGCAAACTAAATGTTCATTGTTCCTTTTGATAATTGCTTTTTCAATTTTCTATCGCCGTCTCTTGATGAATAAATAAATGCTTCTCTGACAAGATATATTCATTTTACGTACATCGACGTTATTCAATTCGTAGTCGGCGACAGAAGGGAGCATAAAATCGTAACGAAGTTCTGGTCGAATTATTTAATATCGTTGAAAAGAAATACGCTGAGCGAATGTGCGTTGAGAAGCAAAATAACCGAAAAAATCACCGAATCGAACGAGAAAATATCACAGTTAACAAACGAAATGCATTAGAATTAAAAATTAGAATTCAAACATTAATTGTTCCCTCTAGTAATTGCTTTCCTCTATCACCGTGCCTTGACAAATAAATAAATGAAAAGATATATTCACTGTACGTGCATCCATATTATAGAATTTAAAGTCAAAAGATGTGAAAATGTTGCGCTGAGGTGATCGGGTGAGAATGATGGATCAACTCGAAAGTAGAGCGGCGTATATTGATTTCGATAGGTATTTATTTTCATAGTGATGAATGTTCTTTATAATCGATCTATAATATCATACATCATAGCATTCAGTTTATACATAATTACAATTGTAAATCTGGTTTCGCCCTTAGGAGTGTAATTAGTAGTGGGTTCGTCGTGTGTCGCGAGAGCTGCCGTCGCGCCGATATGCGGGGGCGATGAATCGCGGGCGACCGGTAGAGATCGCGTAGAAAAAAAAACTCTCCTCTCCCCCCCTCCCCCCGTTGTCTCTCTCGGTGTGATCTCCGGTTCGCGAGATAAAACAACAACAACTCCTGGCCGTACAAGAGAAATCGACGCGCATGCTACGAAAATAAGGTATACAATGTATGTACAACCGAAGAGAGAAGAGTCGGCCGGACCGGCGATCGATCGATCCACGAGAACGCATTACGTAGAATCGATCGCGATCGGCCGACAAACCGAGTCCGCGAGTTTTCAACATGATCGTCCGACTCTACGAGAAAGGAAGTCTCCGCGGCAGTGCCCGCTACTGGCCGCTGATACAGTGTGTGTCGTGTAGGATCCCTAGGAAACAATAAATAAAATCTATCTATTCTCATTTATCTAGCGCGAGACGACGTCCGTCACTTTGATTTTTTCCGTGGTCGATCGGTGCCATTTCACGTCCTCGGCCCTTCTACTATGATCTGAATCCAACGATCCATTTTGCCGCGATCGGCGCCATTCCGCGGGTCGCTACGGCTGCAGTCTAGCCGGACGCCATTAAGCCGCGACCCTAGTTCCGCGGAAATTCCGGGCTGCTTGTGCAAATACAAATCCTTACGAATCGAATCGATATTTTATTTGAACACTCGCGCGGACCTCAATTTTTCAAATGGAGATCAAATGTTTCTATCGGCTGCGACTTTTTCGTTTCGAAAAAACAAGTCCTTTTCGTTTCGATCTCTCGGCTCTTGATCGTTTCAACAAACGTTTTGAACGAATGAAACTTCATCGATGGAATACTACCGTTCTCCGGGACAAAATGGCGTCCGAGGGGCGACGATCGCGGCAAATTCCCCAGCCTCCCTGGCTAGGGCAATCCGATAGCTACCATTCGAGTCTCGATTCCTCCCTCCGATCCACCGATCCGCGCAGAGACCGGTCTTCTTCCCGTTTCTTTACAAAACTATCGTTGTCCCGAGAAGTTCGCACGCCGCGCCTTTCAGTTCGCGTTCGTGGCCGCGTCGATATCTTAATAGATTAATTATCGCGATACATCGAAAGGTACTATGTTTATATATACAGCGGTAGCAATTGGATTACTGATTAAATAGTGGCATATTTACTAAATGTTACGTTATCACAACGATGATAAAATCAGCCGGAAGACCGGAATCGTCCGTGTTTCGATCTTCCCGATCCTGTGCTGTACCCGGCCGGCCGCCGTCGCCGGCCTGTCGAACCTCCATCTTTTAATTAGCAAACAGACAGAGGCAGGGGGTGGAACCAGTGCTTCCTCGGTCGATCAGCTCTCTCTCTCTCTCTCTCTCTTTCTCGTTTGCTCTGCTTCGTGACACGCGGACTGGCCACGGGGCAACCACCAGCGCGGCGACCACCTGCACCACGCGAGACCTCATCCTTCCTCGTAAACATCCCCGCGAAATTTTGTCGTCCATCGATAAATCGCGGATCTTTATGCAAACTCCAATCAATCGAAATTGGAATCGGAGAACGTTTTGCGCTCCTCCATGGAAAAATTCCATGTGGCAAGAATGTAATGAAATTTGACGCGAGTGAAATAAATGCAACAATAAATGCAGAAAGATCCGTGCTTTATCTCTGGGAAATCTGTGAGATTTTGTTAGCTGTTGGTTTGAACGATAGGTAGCTGAACAGTGGAACAGGCTCGTCTTTGGTCAGACTTGGATCGACGAAGCTCCATTTGTTTGTTACGCTATGAAGTGTCAACGAGAAGAAACCAAACCGAGTTTATGAAAATTATAGATACGGTCCGGTCTCTTTTCGACGGTACTTCGTGTTTATTAATTATTCAAGGAACATCGTAGGTTTTCAGGACACAGCTAAGGACGAGGTGAAAAGAATTTTTTTCGACTCCAGCGTCGTGGCTGAAGACTTCCGAATTGACTAGATTGGAGCACCTTGTGTTTCAAGAAATAGGAAAGCAAACGGAGGGAGACTGATAAGTAGACTGTAGATAAAATTGTTCTAGATTGTTTTAAATTGATTTAAATCGATTTAAATAGATTTTGTCGTCTGAGAAAATCATAGTAAAAATACAGTAATAAATTTAGCCATTGCTTCCAAGTAAAATAAAATTTTATCTTCTAAAATAAAAAGACTAAAAATAATAATAAAATAAATATACAAAATAAAATATATAAACTCCATCTACAGGGAGTCGCCGATTAAAATCTACAGCAATGTCCACAGTCTACGGATAAAAAATCGAAAAACCCAGAAACGAGGAAAGTTCGATACCATAAAAATTGAAGCAGATGATCCAGTTAGCAAACTCTGGATCGACAAGCACCGTTCACAAGACCAGCCACCGACCGCTCGAACCTCCCCCCACCCTAAAATCTCGAACAATGCAGAATGGTCGACGCGCGGTCCCGTCCGATATTGCACGTAAAAGTTGAACGATAAGGCCCAGCTCGGGGCCAGAATCGCGGAGCCTCACCCTCGCTGAGCCTCCCTAATCGAGATCAATGGCGATCGGTCGAATCGTCAAAATTTTGGCATCACAGTAAAGGGTAGTAATACTCGCGTCCGCAGAACGAGATCGGTCACGAGCCACTGGTCGACAGCACCGGCAGGTCTCTATGAGCCTGTGGGTCTCTGGAGTGAGCATCCCTGACTGCCCTGGACCCAAAAATCCGCTCGCACCCGGGAATGGTGCACCTGGCCTCCTCCTTCCTGTCCTCGGGGCCGGGCGAGGACATCGGCGAGCTGGTGGCGGGATGCCTGGTCGCCTGCTCCTGGGACATCCTGGTCAGATGGCTCAGATGCTGCTGAGTCAGCCCGTTCAGGCCGGCCAGGTGCGAGGCGAACGAGGACAGACCCGAGAAGGTGGCTCCCAGGTGCGGCGGGAGCAGAAGGGGATGCGGCGGCGGTATTCTGGCGGCCAGGTCGGGCAGTCCAGGTGTGAGCGGGTAGGCGCCGAGCGGGCCGATGCCAGCGTCGGCGTACAGTCTCGCGAGGAACTCGTTGCGCAGCAGAGGGTTCATCTGCGAGTCTTCGACCCGCGGCGACAGGCTGGGCGGCAGGCTGGAGGACAACGGCGGGCTGGACGAGGTGGAGAGCAGCTTCCGGTGAAGGTTCAGGTTGGCCGAGTGCCTGTCCCTCGACCTCTTCGACGGGAACGCGGCGTTACACCCGTCCACGCTGCACCGGTGCATCAGCTTCAAGTGCACGTTCTGGTAATGGGTTTTGACGCCGAAGTGGTTCTGGAACACCTTGCCGCAGGCGGTGCATCGCCTCGGGTTCTCCCTGTCGAGCGGCACCTCCTGAGTGCTGACGAACCCGCCGTTCTCGTAGCGCGCGTACGTGATCAGGCTATTGTCCATATCCATGGCCGCTGTGGAGGGTGAGGCGCTGGATGAGCGAAAGCCACGTGAGCAGTTGTCCATGGTGGTCTCCTGGTGCGTCGTGAGGCTGACGGGGCTGGTAGAATCGCGGCCAGACCTCGAACCCGGCCGCTGCGTCCCGTGGCTCAGCATCGCGCGACCCTGCGACAAGGACTCGAGTTGACGCAAAGTGGTGGTCGAGGGGTCGTGATGGGAGAGGTCGTCGGCTGTCGTCGGACGGCTGTCGACCGAGCTCGGGGCACGGGAGGGATCATCGGGACGCTCACCTTCTTGATTGCGCAGCGCGTCGTTCACCTCCTCATCATCATCATCCTCATCGACCTCCTCCAACGGGTCATCCTCGTCGTCGTCCACATCTTCTTCATCCGGCCTCACATCCTCCTTCGACTTTTCCTCGTCTTTCTTCGCCGACGACTGCTCCACCTTCACCGCCTCGCTCTTCAGCCTGTCGCCGGGTTCCGACGGTTCTTTCGTCGAAGTCGCTTCCTCCTCCTGCTGATGCTGATGTTGCGGCTGCGATTGCGATTGCGATTGCGATTGCGATTGCGACTGCGACTGCGGTTGCGGCTGCGATGTCTTTGGTTCCGGGCTGGTCTGCCTCTTCGGCGACTTCGCCCTCGAGCTCAGATCCCGCGGGTCCTCCTGAGGTAAATGCCACAGCGCCGAGTCCCGTCTACCTTCCCCCGAGGACCTGTTGCTGGCCTCCGGGGAACGGGAGCTGGACTCGTGGTCGTTGAAGTTCTTCGGCGAGTTCGGCGAGGTCTTCCGCTCCTCCGCCTCCAATCGGGACATCGACATATCCTCCGGCTCGCTCTGGAAGTCGTTCATCGACGTGATGCTCGCGCTGTCCGACAGGCAACGTCTCTTCACCCTCTCCTCGTCGTTCGACGAGTCACCGTCCGTCGAAGAGGAATGCAGCTCCGTGAGAACGGCGCAGCGAGTCGGGTGCTGAGACTTCCTTTTCCGGACGCCTCTACTGTGCAACGAGGTCAGGTTCAACGAGAGCTGGCTCATGGAGAAGCTCTGCTGGTCGACGGTGCCCATGGAGTCGTTGTCCTCGTTGCTGTCCGGGTTGCTCACGAGATCCTCGTCCCCAGCTTCGCCCAAGTACACCTTCCTTTTCGTCAGACTGAGATCAGCCGGTTGCTCGTCCTCCTCTTCGCCGGGGCGAAGGGGTAGCCTGGAGGGTAGGTTGCTGGCGTCGTCCTCCGCGACCACCACTATGCCTCCGTCGTCGTCGTCGTCGTCGTCCTCGCCTTCCGCCACGGCTGTGGAGGCTTGAGTGGAAGGCGACACCGTGTCCGCCGCGCTGCCGCTGGAGAAGGACTCCCTGGTGGCGACGGTGGTACTTGGCGTCTCTGCGGCCGTGGTCATGGCCATGGAGGAGGTGGTCAGACCAGTCGTCGATGACAGACTCGCGTTCACGTTGATCCGCTGATGCAGCGTCTCGTCGTACGGGATCCCCTGGTCCAGGTGCTTGAAGTCCAACCCGCAAAGCGACGCCGGCGATCTGAGGTCCGGTGGCGGGGTCAGCAGCGGGAAGGATCTGAAGGGCAGGTGCTTGAACCCCGTGGCGGGCACCGGCATTCCCGGAGGCAGAACCAGAGCGTGCGCCATCGAAGACCGGCCATCGTGCGGCGAAATCTTCCGTCGCATGTGCGGCGAGTGCAACTTCGGGTTCGGGTTCGCGCTGTGTCTGTTGCGCGACCTCCTCGAACTGAACATCATGTTGCAGCCGGTCACGGTACACTTGTGCATCTCCCGCAGGTGTACCGCGCTGTAGTGAATCTTGAGGGCGCCCTTGTCGCAGAAGGTCTTTAAACAGGTGATACATTGAACCCGCTTCTTGCCGGTGGTCGGGTTGATGAACGTGGTGCCCAGGTTCGGCGGGATGTTCGTCGAGGCGCCCCATTGGCTACCCGGCCGTTTACCCGGGGAATGAGGTTTCCTGCCGGGGATCCCCGGAGGCCTACCGAGCGGGGCTGCCTGCAGAGGTAGTGGAGGGTGGTGTCGCTGCTCGCCGTGTTTCGAGGAGTCGCGCCTGCTGAGGTTCAACGCGCTGTCCCAATTCTCGTCGTCCTCCTCGTCCTCTTCGGAGCCGAACTCGCTGCTCTTCTCGCCGCCGCTGTGCACGTCCGAGGGCACCGTGATGCCGGCCACGCAGCCGGAGGACTTGCCCATCGGCGGAGGGGGAAAGTGGGCCGGGAAGTTGGGAGGTAGCGCGCCGGAGGACACCGCAACGGACAGTGGATGGCCGAAGTTGAGGGCGGAAGAGGACACGGGGGCCACCGGGGGCATGTGAGGCCTCTGCAGCTGGTTGCTGCTCGGGTGATGCGGCGGACTGTGCGGACTGTGCGTGTTCCTCAACGACTTTCGACTCTGCATCAGCTGATCCGCCGGTGGTGGTGGTGGGAGCGGCGGGAACGCCGGCAGGCCGAGCGTCCCCAGCTTCCTGAAGTCGAACGGCTGCATGCTCTGCAGTCTGTTCAACGGCGACACCGTCAGGTGAGACTCCAGGCTTCTGGGTGGCGAGTTCGCGCTACTCGTTACTCCGGGGTTCCCGCTCGACGAAGAGGAGTAGTGGTGCTTCTGAGGCGTCGGCGACATCGATGGGTGCGACACCGCCGGCGGAGGCGGCGGCGGTGGCAACGGAGGTGGCAACCGCGAGCCTGGCGGTGGGAGGCCGCAATGGAGCAGGTGCAATGGAGGTGGTAGGTGTGCTAGTGGCATCGTCGGCGGCGAAGGTCGTCTGCTTGGTGACATAGCATCCGTACCCGGCGTCCCGGCGGCCAGCAGCAACTGCTGCACGAAAGGACGCGTCTCGGCGAACCTGAGGAACTGCTGCAGCACCAGCGGCTCCTCTTCAGGCGAACAGATGCTCCATCGGTCCAGCACCGTGCCGTTCTGCGAGTCCTGAAGACAGAAAATAGAGGTCGATTAGGCTTCTGGGTGATACCTCTCGAGGCCTGTACGATTCGGCTTTGAAGATGCATCTAGCGCTTACAGACATCTCCGGTCCACGTTCGACAATCATCGGCTTTTAGTAGGAAGTCTTTCATAGACTAACTGTCGATTGAAAATGTTTTCATATTTAACTTTGAAGGATAATGCTGTGGAGCATTATTATTGATGAATTATTATTATTATTGAGCATTATTATAGATGAAGATGCCTCGAGTAAAAGAAGGAAACGTCGTTTAGTTGCGCTTGAAATATGAAAGAGAAAAGTTCATGGAGAATATTGGACAATGTTCAAACAATTAATCGATTAAGTATGCTCACTTACGTAATCTTGTTTACCGAGATATTTGTGCAGAAACAGATTTTTATGAAATTAAACGGCCTCGCTATTTAACTTTGCGCTATTTCTCCGAAAACCGTCCGTCTTTTCGATATGCTTCTGTCAATTGTTCTTATCGACGCGTTGTCGCGATCGCACGTTCTCTCTCTCTCTCTCGCACATACACACAACCACACTCGTCGTGCTATTTCTCTATCGTACACACGTAGACGAGAAGTACACGACGCCTTCGTCCTTACAGCACCGCGCAGGGTTTACGATGCGCACCCTTTCGCCCGTCGGTTACTTTGCAAATCCCCGTGAACTCTACACTCGTTAGGGTTGATTCAGCAATTGCGTCTTATATTGTGTAGCATTGCCTCGCTGCAATCATTTTCACACAATTATCTATCGATAACGATCGCGTCAAACGGATATATCGGACGTCACGGAACAAGACAACGAATTAATGGGTAGTGGAACAAAAGTTGTAGGAGTAGATGCGAGAAAAAGCTGCGGCACAGGAAAAACATTGTGTGCCATGGCCGCTCGTCGCCGAAGCGTTACATAAATTAACTCTGTCTGCTTTAATGAATTTCTTCCTGGTTGCTCGATGGCAATAAAATTCTCACTTCCTACCGAATCGTCGATCGAAAGTAACAAAGTAGCAGTAAAACGATCGTAAATATTTCCAGCACAATATTATCTAGAAACTAAACGTGCGTTACGTATGTGCTCCGCATCATTTTCTACTTAACACTGCATGAACTGTTTAAAGTCCATTGAAACGTGCTGTCGGAAATGTGCGCTGTCAAATTAGAATATTCCAAACCCGTTCGACAAACGAGAAGTCAGATTATGAAATAATATAAAATGCGGAGGCGACAAAGGTTTACATTTCAAGAGAGAATTGCTGCATCCAAGGAAGCGGCAGAACACTTGTACAGCAATCGGACGGAGTCGATTGTTGCTTCGACTTCTTTGTACAGTCCGAGCAGCCTTCGGCCTCGCGTAATCGTCCCATGATAACTCCATATCCGGATAAAAACACTTCCGCCGTTCCGCGACCGTAGAAGGCCGTTTACGTAATGTCGTTTTACTTTGTGCGCGCGGGGGAAACGATTAATACGAACGGATCAATGAATAATCAAAACTAATTTATTCGCTTTAGCGGCGAGCAATTAGTTCCACTTCAGTTGCCGCGTCGGACGCGGGCTCCTAGCTCGATGATGAGTGAATCGCGAAATAATTAACTGTAAACAGTCGGTTTTTACCGCCATTAGTCACCGTGGAATGGGAATACGGGGAGCAAACAGGAATCTGCGTTTTTATGCCGCCCGATAAGCGTCTCTGACGAAACACTTTCGTTGTTAGCAATGTCATCAATGTCGTAACGCGCGGCTTCTTCCCGCTTATTAATTGATCTTCTTCTTCGGCAATTCATTCCGGAGAATCGAGACGAGCCGCGGACCTTTAACACTCTCGCACGGTGCTCGTTGCTTGTTGATCCAGCGTGAACAGTATTTATTTCGCATTCCTTCCGAACGAAACAACAGTTTCATTCGGCAGTTTCATTTCCAATGCATGCCGGCACTTGCTAGGCAATCAACTTCGAAACTGATCAATTTACGCAGCCATTAAACGTCTCCGCAATTATCCCTCAATCTTTCAGAAATCTGAAACTGTCTCCCGCAAATTAAATGTCTCTAATAAACGCGAATGTACTCGTTGATTGGTTCCGCGGAGATGTATATCGCGGCGATAAATTCGCGATAAGTTTATCGGGTGATCTATCAGGTTGCCAGGACGCCGCCGCCGATTTCGCTGCAGGGAACTGGTCCGCAAAAGTGTGACGGCAATGAGCCGAGCTAAGGCCGTTGCTGCGGTTCAACCGGGTTTCTCTTTCGCGTTCTTGATTTCGATACACCTGTTCTTTGTGCGACCGTCGCGTCGCGCGAGCCATCGAAAGTCAAGTGCAGGCTTCTTTGGCGTTGCCGATCGGTGCCGGGCCGTGATCATATTTTCGCGGCGACCGACAACGCCGATTCGTTCCCGACGATCGGACTTTCTAATTACTATAATAATCGGCGAACGGAAGTTTCGTAACCGTGTTTATCCGCGGCGATCTTCGCTGATTGAAAATCGTTATACGAGTAATTAACGACTCGAGCGGATCGGTTCAATATACTGGCATCGGGCTTTACGAGGCCACTGCACGATCGTCTGCGAAAACGTGGCGTGAAATCTTTAATCGAATTGCCAGGAATCGGAGACACAGAGACGGCGTGCCGATTTCTTACCGATCGTTGCAGACTGTCCGGCCCTTTATGCAAATTCTCGCGACGAGAGAAAGATGACACTGACGTGAATATAGGTTGGAATCGTGGTGGCGTAAGTTAGATTTTCGAACATTTTGACTTATGTCTCGAGCAGCCGTCTCTATGCATGCCTAAATGTTAAAAAACAAGCGACAGAAATTATGCAATTACTATAAATTGACTTAACTCTAAATTATCTTAATAATAAATTCGATCAGTAGACAGTATATGTGTTGGTAAACAATAACATTTCCTGTTTCTCACAGTGAGGAAAATTTGACTTACATCATTATGATTCTAACCCACTCGTATGTTTGTGAATTCTGCAGTGGTTTAGAAGACTATGATAGCCATTCGATGGTGCCATTTAAAATGGAAAATTATGAATGATGAATGATGAATCAATTGAATGATGATCCAATTGAATGATCCAACTTATTCAAAATGATAACGGTTTCTGGTAAATAATGCGGGAAATTTCTATCGTGTTGCAGAATCATCGTGCAATCGAAGATCTAACAAATAGCCAAATTTGAAACACTCACGCTCGGACCAAGAATTTGAAAATTGTTTGAATAACAAGTTCCTGATAACTTACCGAAATTTTCACATTTTTCATCAAAGTATGAAAAAAGCTAACGCGTCTATGAGCGCGTTATAAATATCCTGAACAAAAAGAAAGCTGATAAATAAAATTACGAAATGACGTCGAGCATAGACAGTTATATTTTTGCGAAGAAGGGCCGTCGGCCGAGCGTTAAAGGTTTTCGCAGCCGGTCCGCAGAATCGACGGCTAAATTTGCAATCGTGTTTCCGGCATTTTCTGCTGGTTTTCGCGCGCGGACTGCAAATTAGCACGTATCGCCGAGGGTGGGCTGCGCTCGGCGCCCCGCGGAGGCTCCGTTCCGCGGGCGACAAAGAGTAAAATGGCGGTTGTCTCGTGTTACAGAGTCGCGCGCGTGTGTTTTCGGGTGGCTGCGGTCAGCTCCCGTGCGAAAAATAACGCGACGCTTTCGGCGCTCGATCGGATTTGGAGTGGCGTCGGTGGCGAGTTGACGCCGTGCCGAGCCGAGCCGAAACGGCGGCTGTATGTCGTTCGCGGACGCGTGTGCGTGCTTGAAGAAATATACACGGGACGCGGGCGAAAAGCGTCGCGGCGCTGGGCGTCCTGCGTTACGTCGAGCCCGCCGGTATGCGTAAATATACAAGCCCGCGAGAGACAAGCTTACGGCCGGTCTATATACGCCGGCCACCTCGATTTTAGAAGGAACAACCCGCGACTTGGAGCCGAGACGTCACGTACGAGCGGAAACCCTCGGAAACTGGACCACGATCGGCTTATCGATCGCCGAGATCGGTTGGTTCGACGATCCGCGTGAGCCGAACACCGAAACCGCGTGAAGAACCTTCGAAATTTTTAACGTTTCTTGCTATTTATTCAACGAGCTACCACTTTTAATCCTTCGTCGTATAACGCTGAGTTGAACTCGTGGTGAAAAGTTCAAACGGAAGTAGATTATTTAAAGTATTGCTCGTGTCTTTTGGATCAAAGTGTGGCTAAGTATTTATTATTTATTTATTTATTCATTATAAGTAGACTGCGAATTTTATGCATTTATGGGAAAAGTGAACAGGCGCGATTTAACGTTAGAACTACCGAGCCATAAACGTGACTAATGTATGTACATTGTTACATAACAACGACGAGACTGGATTTATTTAAAGTTACTACGATTTTTATTATAATATATGCTTCGACGAAGAAGTTCATATAAAATTTCTAAGAAAAACATTTTTGTAGTATCGGGAATTGTGGAAGGAAAAGGATCAGAAACCCGCCATTTTGACTGGGTAGTTCTAATTGTTGAAACGGTGAAAGAGTTGAGAAGAATATCAGTACGCTGATTTCAACCAATTAAAGTTATGATAGGGAGAATGAAATGTCTCTTACAACTGATGTAAGAAATTTTTATTTTGCATAAAGATTCGTAGTCTAATTGTAAGGAACAAAAAACCAAAAACGAAAGAAATTTAATGGAACTACAAAATTACCCATCGCACAAGATGAAATCGATATTAATATACAATGTTTAGTCTTGAGGGGAGAGATTTCAGAACCAAGAAATTTTAGCAGTTCGGGCCAACTATTAAAACAGAGGCAGATTTAAGCAGAACTATTAAAACTCGGAAATGCGAAAGAAAGAATCACAGTTGAACCACACGTTTACGTAAGCACAATGATTGCAGCAAGACAACAGCGAGCAAAGTTTCTCGAAACTCCAAAACGAAACTGGACAGTTCCAGGACACGAGGGC